GGCGGCCTCGGCCACCGGCACGGCGCGGGGCGCGTGGCGGGTTCGGCGCACGGTGCCGTGCAGCCCCCTGGACACTTCCAGCCCACCAAGTACTTCCCCGCGCCCATCTCCATGGCCACGCACACAGGTCAGAGGGGCCGGGGCGGCCGCGGTGCGGGGGGCCGGGAGGGGCGCGGGGGTCCGGCACGACACCGGGGGCTCGGCCTCCCCTTTGTGCTGATCCCGCTGTCACTGCGCCCGGTGGATTTGGGGGTGGGGGCTGACGTACACGGGGGGCATTTCCCCGCTCGCCCGTTCTGCCGGCGCGGGAGGAGCGCGACCCCCGGGCCGGCCCGGCGAGATCCCGGTGCCTGAACAAGGAAGCGTTTTCTGGGCGAACAAGGAGGCCGTTATGCGCGGGGCTGGCGCGGCGGTGCCGTGGTGCGGCAGCGGCGGTGGGGAAAGGTCAGCAAACCCCGGCTCTATATAAAGCGCCGAAGTGTCAGGGTGAGAAGGGGTTTGCAGGGTGCACGTTCGCCTCTGCAGCTGGTGTCCTGCCGGAGACGGACAAAGCGCGGCGCGCGGCCGAGCACGGCACGGCCAACCGTGCCGGCACCGGGATGGGGCTTGCCGGATTCGGCCACCGCGCCGGCATCCGCGGCGCGCGCCGCCCGCTCGCTCGGCTTTGTCTGCGGCGGCGTGCGCGGAGGCCGCTCGGCTGTGGCCGTGCAGGTTAAAGCGGGGCGCAGGGTGCCTAAAGCGGGGTGCGTGGCCTGGGGAGGGGGGCTTCGAGGGCGCAGGGGCGGCCAGCGGGGCGCAGGCAGCGGGAAGCCCGTCTGCTGCCACCGAGCTCCGGGACGGAGCCGAAGCGGGAGCAGGGCCGGATCCGGCGAGCAGCCTGCCGGCTCGGCACGGCGCTGCCCGGGGCCCCCCGCTTCCCGCCGGCGCAGGCGGTTTTCTCGCCGCGGCACGGCGGCAGCGCCGGTTATTGTCGCCGCCTTGATGAGCTGTGAATACTAATAAAATTATATCTGCTTTAATGGGATTACAATTAGTGCGTGGATTAGGGCGGGGGGCACGGCCGGGCCGGCGCGGGGGGGTG